TTAACGTAAAAGTAAAAAGTAAAGTAAAGTAAGAACGACGACGACGACAACGAACGACGACTCGTACGTGTTACGTTAGTTAGTTAGTATATATCACACTACACACTACTCTCTCTCTCTCTCTCTCTCTCTCTCTCTCTCTCTCTCTCTCTCTCTCAAATCGACCTATCTGTGCTGCTCTCTCTCAAGCTCAAGCTCAAACCAGGTACACTCTCTCTATCTCTCTTTTTTTTTTTTTCGGGATATTTCCAACCAGTCTCTCCCTCTCTCTATCATGATTTTTATGGGCATCTTCTTCGTCAGTTTGTTCATCTCTTCGTGGTCTCACTGTCTCTATCTCCATTTTTTTTGGGTATTTCCAGCCAACCAGTCTCTTCCTCTCTATCACTATGACGATTTGTTTTTCTTTGGGCATCTTCCTCAGTTCTCCATCTCTCTATAGGTTTTTTTTAGAACTGTTTTTACTCCTATGTCTCTATCCAGTTTTTTATTTTTTTTGGTATTTCCAGCAAACCAGTTTTTCTCTCTCTCCATCAAGAATTTTTTCTTTGGGTATCTTCTTTCTCACTTTTTCATCTCTTTCTGTGGGTCTTATTTAGGCTTTTTTACTGCTCTCTCTATATCTCCGTTTGTTCTTGGGTATTTCCAGCAAAACAGTTTCTCCCTCTTTCTCTTTTGGCAAATTTTTTATTTGGGCATCTTCTTTCTCACTATCTCAATATCTTTTTTAAGGCTTTTTTTTACTGCTCTCTCTCTCTTGCAGGGTATTTCCGGTTTCCCTCTCTATTACGAATTTTTCCGTAGGGCATCTTCTTTCTCAATTTCTCCTCTCTCTGTGGGTTTTTTTACTGCTCTCTTTCTCTGTCTCTATCTCCTTTCTTCTTCTTTTTTCACTGAAAGTGAAGGGGGAAGTTATAGAGAGAACACTAAATCGAGATAATTTAGAAGTATACTGGGTGTTGCTACTATAGTGTCTATAAATTGCAGTGCATAGGAAATTGGTTGCAGAAGTGCGTCGAGTGATTTTTCAAAATAATGAACTCCCAGATTTATTGCTCAATTAACTAACAGATAAGAAAAATCATGACAATCATAGCTTTATTTTTGCCTAAATTTTATGAAAATGTTTTTAAGTAGCTTGAAGATATCCTTCTTTTCTATTGAACATAGAAAAGAAGTAATAAATAAGAGATCACCTTCTTTTCTACTGAACTTCGAAACAATTGCTTCTATGTAGGTAACTTTGTGCTCCAACGAATTTCATTTTCTTTTTTCAGTTTATATTTGGTCTTGAATTGGGTTTCTGTCATAAACTTCTTTCATGGCTTAGATTTCTTTTGAATCCATATTTACTTGCTAATTAAAGGATTGGATAATTTGATGACAATTGTTATAGTGAAAAAAATAAAATAAAATTAGAACTTCCATTTTCTAAACCAAATAAAACATGGACATGTATCTTTGAAAAATGAATGTTGAAATCCGGGTATTTTATCCTCTGTTTTTTTTTTATTGAAAATAGCTGTTAAAGGGATGGAGCATGACTCATCATCAAAGAGGGCTTATAATTTTCAACAAAATTTATGTGAGGGCTTATAATTTTCAACAAAATTTATGTGAAGGAGTCAGGGACTAGCCATAACGTCTAAAGCTCCAAGTTTCAATTTCATTGCTTGATAAAAATACTCATACTTATAGTATAAAAAAAGTGGTTTACTCTAAAAAACAATTATGGCTTATCTTCATCTCCAAGCTTTGCGAAGTGATTCATTGTTGACCCATATCGAGTTTAGGGCTTAATATAAAGGAAGCATTCATAGTTTGATTCAATTCAATTTATGATGCAGATTTCAATAGGGATGGAGTATTTCCAGAATGTGGGTTCAACAGTTGATACATTTCATGGTGCTGTTTGTGTATGAATGATCTATGCTTCATACTTTGGGTTGTGTATGCATGCGCACGGATATATGTTCCATGTCTATAAATTAAACTTATTTCTTTTGGTAAAATACACCAAATTAAACTTTATTTCTTTTGTAACCACATATACACAAGTGTTCTATATCTGCAAATTTGAACTTTCTTTCTTTTCCTCCCAACTACGCCATGTGCATCAGCATTCAGGACCATTTTGCAAGAAAGTTGAAGCAAAAGAAAATCCGTTCTGTTATAATGAAATATCCCAGAAAACTAAAACGAGTGTTGTAAACATAACATTCTACAAAAGTGAAAACGTGATACTGAAAATAAAGGAGTGCAACTTGGTGTAGAGGGTAATGAAGTTTTTTTTTTTTTAAAAATGAGGGTAATGAAGTTTTGAGAGGGGGAAACTGGTTTGTACAAAAAAAATTAAGAGAGAGAGCGTCAGCAAAAAAAAATTCCTAAAAAAGAAAAACCCACAGACAGATTGAGAAAGAAGATGCCCAAAACAGAAATTTGTGATAGAGAGGGAGAAACTGGTTTGCTGGAAATACCCAAAAAAAAAAAATCGAGATAGAGATAGAGACAACAGTAAAAAGCCCTAAAAAAGACCCACAGAGCGATATTGAGAAAGTGAGAAAGAAGATGCCCAAAGAAAAAATTCGTGATAGAGAGAAAGGGAGAAACTGGTTTGCTAGAAATGCCCAAAGAAAAATGGAGATAGAGAGAGAGTAGTGAAAAAAATCCTAAACAAGACCCACAGAGAGATGGAGAAAGTGAGAAAGAAGATGCCCAAAGCAAAAATTCATGATAGAAAGAGAGAGAGGGAGAAATTGGTTTGCTGGAAATACCCAAAAAAAATGGAGATAGAGACAAAGCTGTAAAAAAACCCTAAAAAAACCGACAGAGATGGAAAAACTGAGGAAGATGCCAAAAAAATAAAAATAAAATCGTGATAGTGATAGAGAGGGAGAGATTGGTTTGCTGGAAATACCCAAAAAAACATGGAGATGGAGACAGAGAGACCACATAGAGATGAAGAAACTGACGAAGAAGATGCCCCAAAAAAATCGTGAGATGAAGAAACTGACGAAGAAGATGCCCCAAAAAAATCGTGATAGAGAGAGAGACTGGTTTGCTGGAAATATCCCAAAAAAAAAAAAAAAGAGAGATAGAGAGCGTACCTGGTTTGAGTTTGAACATGAGCTTGAGCGAGAGCAGCACAAATGGGCCGGGCCGACTTAGAGAGACAGAAGGAGAAAAATATCAACGAAACTTTGAGACCACTGCGGCGCTTGGTTGCCCGACGTGTCTTTGCCTCTTCTTTTTTTTAATTAGGGAAAGCTTTATATGTTCCCCTTACAACACATAATACAATTTCTATCTTCCTTTTAATCCAGCCCTCTATTTTTGAATGGAGGGTTAAGATAGCCCCAATCACTATATCACGTCTCTGTAATGTTTTTTTTTATTTTTTTTTGCATAAAATATTTTGACATAAGTCCATTCCTCTATCAAGCTCACACTAATGAAAAATATAAAAAAAATTATTTTCAATAAAATAAAATGACTAAAATACTTCTGAAAATTTCAAGAGGCATTTTGATAATTATTTTTTATCGAAAAATTATTATTAATATTTTTTTTATAGATGTGCCCCAATTAGAAGATAACGCTTATTAAATTTTATATTAAAAAAACTTGTATTAAAAAAATTAAAAATAAAATACTTTGAGACGTCGGATCTAAGATCAAACGGTAAGTGACTATCTTGATAAAAAAAAATTGATGGTAAGGGATGATAAAACTTTGATATCGTAGTGGAACATATAAAACTTCCCTAAATTTAAAAAAAGCTTTTTATGTTCCCTTGCTTATCAAACTATCTATTTTTGAATGGAGGGAGGGCTAAGATTGCCCTAATCACAATATCACATTTCTACACTGTTTTATTTTTAATTTTTTTTCTATAAACTCTTTTGACACTAAATTTTGGATATCTACTCATCTATTAAATTCACATTAAAAAAAAACATAAAAAATATACTTTTAATAAAATAAAATGATCAAAATATTTTTAAAAGTGTCAAAAGGTACTTTGGCCATTATATTTTAACAAAAAGTTATTAGTAATATATTTTTTATTGGTGTGCCTCAATGAAAGGATGGCACGTATCAAGTTTCATATGCAGAAAACTAAAAATTAAATACTCTAAAAGGTGTTCTCTTGATTAAAAAATGAAGGGGTAGATGGTAAGGGGAGGATAGGAACGTGTTCTGTTGATTAAAAAATGGAGGGTAAGGGGGGAGGATAGAAGTTGTAGGTGGTAGGGGGAAGATGGAAAGCTGAAGCTTTCCCTACAGAGGAGAGGAGAGGAGACTGATAGAGACTTTGTTGTTTGAACGCGTGGGTAGCAATGATTCGATAGAGTAGTGTCGTTGTGGATTAGTTTAGGGTTTTGATCTCTCTTCCGAGGTAACACGAAACTAATTCCTCTGTCTCGCACACCACACCACACCCTACCTCCCTTCCTTCGTTGCTACCATGCGATTGCAGGAAAGGTTAGAGAGAAGCTACTTAAGATGGGGAAAACAAAAACGTCTCCGATTTTTGCAGAACCAAGCACCACCTCCTGTACACCCTGCTCCTCCACCTCCTGTAAACCCTGCTCAAGCACCTCCTCCTCCTCCTGTACACCCTGCTCAAGCACCTCCTCCTCCTCCTGTACACCCTGCTCGAAATCTGATGCCTACCGGCAGATTCCATCCATATACCCGACCACAGCCCCGTCCTACTACCAAACTTCCTAGGAAACTCACCTCCACAGAAAAATCTTTTGCCGGAACTCGGCCCTCCTCTTCTTCATTGTTGGAAAATAGGCTGTGGTCTGGTAGGCTCAGAAGTTCAAGCAACAAGGTGGAGGATTTGCCGGTCTCAGCGTTTGAGGAGTTGGAGAAAGAGGATAGTGGAGAAGAAGGTGAAGCGTAAGAGAGGTGGCTCGAGCTTGAGATTAAGGTCAAAGTTGAAGTAGAGGTGAGATTCTTGATTGGTTCGTTGAATCGTCTATTTCCTTGTTTATCCAGGAACTTGTTTTCATGGATCTCTCTCTCTCTCTCTGCATAACCCATCATTCTTGTCTTCTATTAAGCTTACCCATTATTGGTGCATTTACTTTCTAGAGAAATTCATGAAAATATAAGTAGGAGATTAACTATTTAGCATTTGATCTATTGTTTTAATTTGAAAATACCCATCAAAACACACATGGCCAATAGGTGGAATGGTTGAAAACTGGTAAATTATTAAATCGTTGAAATTTTGGTGTACTTTGGTAAATTTCCTAATTTTCGATTCTTCCTTATAAAATCTTTTGGCGGTTGTCTACCTGTTGTTGGAGTTGTGGCATTTCAAGGCCTTAACACCGAGATTTTCTATGGTTCTTGGTTACAGTGGTAGTGACCGTGAATGTATGACTCGACATATTTGGATCCAGAGTTGGTATCCATAGAATCACTAAACCCTGGATCATGAGGCTCGGTTCAAGTAGTGTTAGTTCGAAAAGGTTTTTAGGAGTTCCCTTGGTCAGGCTTAGTGAGATCGCCTCATGAGGTTTAAGCTGATATTTATATTTTTGTACATGGTTAGATATGGATCGAGATTTGCATAGATGATATTTTATGTGTCAAGCTATGTGTAAGAAGGATTAACTCTGAGAGGATATGAGCCAAATCACTAACGATGATCATATTCATAGAATATGCATATGATAATCCCAAAATGGGAAGCTGCTTGCACTTTGGAGAGTACCCCCACATCCTAAGAGTGTATGTCCTTAGAGGTCAACCTACAATCCATTGTAAATTTGGGACCTAGCCTCACGTCAGTCTAGTGGTTGACGTATGGGTGACGTTGACCAATTAGGTGGGATGCCACCCTTTTAAGGATGATTATGGCATTTTAGTAAATGATGTGCTTTTGGCACTCATGAGGGGAATTCCCTTGTGTGCTGCTTGATACTTTTGAAGGGTTTATTTTTTTTCTTTATGTCATGGACTTCAAACCAATGAGAACATAGATCTAAAAGGGTTTTATTTAGTATTGATATCTCATTGCATACATGCTTGAAAATATGACATGAAGTGTGTTTTATGACATCAAGTGCATACTATCACGCACCACATGTATGAAGGGCATAAGGTGTTAGAGAGAGATACCTTTATTTCAAATTCAAAGGCATAGGGTGTTAGAGAGAGAAAATATCTTTGTTTCAAATTCAAATATTGGTTTAGAATGAGAAGAATTTTCTATAGAATTGAGGGGTATGTACTTCATACGGATTTTTCCTTCACACATGTATTTAATTATACGGGTAATACGAGATGGGTGTGGTTTGTATCCTTACACAAACCTTAATTTAGAAGTAAGGTTGCAGTGTTCTACATCATATATTTCAAATTGACGGTATAGACTTGACATGTCTTTTACGGCAGTGTAAATAACACATCTTTTGAGACATCAGTAAATCTACATTGTTTAAATAATATGGATGATATAGATTAGTGCAACCTTACTTATACAAGTAAAGTTGCAGTCTTTTATAAACTTTTCTTTATGAGATTGGGCTTTACGATTTTATAGAATTAACTAAATTACAAAATTTAAAATTGTTCTCATACATGTGGGGATAAAAGCGGAGAATCAGAACCACATACCTATGATAGTTTGATATGAGATGTGATTGCTAGGATATTTCCTCTTTCTAAGCCTTTGATGCTCAAGATTAGTAGCCTAGACTCAATACATCAAAATGGCAAACTCAAACCCTAACTCTCTCTATAAATACCCATCATTCCTTAAACCTTAGGTCACTTTTTTTAGTGAAGCATAGACCCCAAGAGAGAGAAGAGAGAATGAAGGAGAATCCCCCCTTTCTAGGTCTAGCCACTATGGAGCATATAATGGTGGCTGGACTTAGAGCATGGAGAGTTCCTTGGTGAAGTTTTTGGCCTTCCTTTCTTGCTGTCCTTGCACATTTACAGCAAGATAGCTTCTTCTTTGAATCTTCTATTTTTGGTTTAATGGTCATTCCTATCATGCCTATCAATTCTACTCAAGCTAGTATGACTATGCTTTGGATTGAGCCCATTTCGTTACCATTTGGCTAAGTTTTCTTTTGCTGATTTTTCTGCACTGTCACCCATGTCATAGCCTAATATTTGCTCTCATCACCTGAAAAGCTTATTTTACAAGGGATTATTATTCCAAAATTTTATCTTAAACCCTATTAATAGTTTCGCTCTCCATAAACTACAATTTTGCTCCACCTACCACTCTCTTCAATTTTATCTTGGCTCTCTTCATACAATAGTTCCATATGATGGTTTTGATGATGATGTGAGTTGAGCTTCATGATTTGTGCTTGGTTTTAAATTTGGATTGAAACTAGACCAATTATATCGCGCTGTGGGATTTAGCAATCTAATGGTTGTTATTAAGAGCCTAATTGGCACAAATTTGTTTCTGAATCGGCTTCCCATAATTTAGATACTACGTGCACAACTTTGGTGGTTTGTAACTTGAGATTGGCCTAATTTTGTGTGTTTGACGGTTATGCGACTTCTATTATTTGAAGGTTTTGAGTTGGGGGCTGATTTGCGTGTAATTTGTTTATATAATGTTGTATTATGGCCAATTTCTATGATATGTTTTAAGTGAAACTAATAAGGGACTAATTTGGAGTCTTTTGAGTTAATTTAGGGTGTATTTAATTGTGTATTTGTGAGTTGACTTGTTTCTAGCTGCAATTTCGATATTGAAGTTGGTAATTTGGGTATATTTTTTGAAAATTTTGAAGTTTTAATGATGAAATAAAAAATAACTTTTAAGTTTTAATTATTACAACTAGAATTTTATGTGATCGCCGCATACTAATGACGTTGAGGGGCAATCTATAGGACAACAGTGAGACCAGCTTTGCTCTGTGGGGCCGAATGTTGGGCGGATAAAAAACAATATACCCATAGAATTAGTGTAGTGGAGATGAGGATGTTGAGATGGATCAGTTGCCAGACAAGAAGGGATAGAATTTAAAATGAATCTATTCAAAAAAAATTAGGCATGGCGCTTTCAGGACTATATTCATATGGCAACACCTCTATCTGTCAATTCCATGTATGTTTTTGATGCTACTGCTTTATGGCATCAATGTCTTGGTCATGTTTATGCTTTTAGGTTACATTTTTTGTTGTTGTGTTCTTGGTCTTGTCACTAATGAAGTGTCTGTTGATGTCAAGCATCGTGAAGCTTGTAACCTTGGAAAGTCTCATGCTTCACCATTTAGTCATAGTAGTTCATACTGATGTATTGGGGCCTGCTCCTATTTTTTCAAAAGAGGGTTTAAGATATGTTGTTACTTTTATTGATTGTCACACTAGGTAAATATGCATATTTTTTTATGAATAGTCGCATTGAACTTTTTGATAATTTTACCAAATTTTACTTCTAAGTTGAAACTCAATTTTCTACCAAAATTAGAAATTTGCACTCAGATTCTGTTGGGGCATACATAGATGGTTCAAAAGTTTCTTTTAGATAAAAATATTCAACATAAAAAATCATTCACTTATACTCCTGAACAAAATGGTGTTGTTGAATTAAACATTCGTTAAATTTTAGAGACCCCAAGGGTGTTGTTTTAAAAAAATTTTGGGCCAAAGCAGTTCTCACTGCTGTCCACTTGATAAATATCATGCCCTCTTCTATTTTATTTGGTACTCCCCTTTTGAGTGACTATTTACTAACCCACCTGATTACTCTAATCTTTGAATTTTTTGTTGCACTTGCTTTGTGTTGTTGCCTACATCTAAGCGATGCAAATTATCGGCCAAAGCTATGAAATATTATTTTCTGAGGTATCCGGAATATTAAAAAGGGTATAGGTGCTATGATCTAGAAATCAAGAGATTTAGAGTATTTAGATATGTTGTATTTTCTAAACGTATCTCTTCTTACTCCACATCCACTATTACCAACTATTTCTCTGATTTTTCTTTTCTTATTCTATTTTCTGATAATGATTTCATCACCTTCTGTAACTCAGTCATCGAAATCAGTTGCTGCCATGGATCCCATTCAAGCACCTGCACCTGTTGATCTTGCACATACACATGCTATGCACCATAGTACTCGTGTTTGTATTCTGCCTTCCCAATTTGCTGATTATGGAACCTTCTTACCTTGGCATCAGATTCTTTCTTACCTCCAATCACTATTATTTTGAGCTACAGACTTACAAAGAAGCTGCCAACTAGACGGAGTGGCAACATGCAATGTCAGAAGTATTGAATGACCTTAATCATATGCATGCTTGGGAACTGGTCCCTTTTCCAAAAGGAAAGGGTAAGAATCAAAATAAGAGCTGATGGTAAAAATTTCTGGAAGGGTAATTGTGAAATTTTTATATGTAAGCACAATGATATTCTGGAAGTAATGTCTTGGAACTATATTTGTAAATTACCTTATCATTCAATAAAAATTTCAATTTTACCCCTTATGAAGATGACAGAGTACCTATTTATTTTCATAAATATCCTTATTTCATGAGCAAGATATCACAAAAAGTAATTAAAAAGAAAACACATAGTTAGTAAATCCACTATTCACAACTCATTCTAAAATTAATTTTTGTATTTTGAAGGGCTGTGAATTGTAGATTATCCACACACACACAACTGTGGTGCATTTGGTCTCTTAGCATTAGCTTTCTATTCACTTATTTCTGGTAATTATTATAAGAAAACTGCTAGCAAATTTTCTATTCTAGATATTATTTTATGAATTTTATTCTTAATGGTTTGTCATCTCCTTTCATTCTATGACAATTTTAGAGTATGACATTTATCATTTGCATCTATGGGATATTTATTGCAATTCATTCTAATACAATGGCCATCACCATTTATGATTCTTCTACTTTTAGAGACTTACTAGATGGTCCTAATTTTTTTCATATGGATTTAGATTTTGCAGAATGGCCAAAGTAATTTAAATTGTTGGGCCTAGGCTATTCTGCACCCAACCAGTCAGTCAAGAGTTTATTATTTATGGGGAAGAATCGGAGGTACATCCTTGGAGATCGACTGCATATTCAATCTAAACTGTACAACTCAAACTAATACATGGTAATGATGCGTATGCAGTACGAGTGGGAGTTCATTGTATGGGTCAAATTGCTGGCAGAATGTTGCTTTATACTCTAATTATAGCAAGTAGTGGTAGTGTTGCTTTCTTCCCTTATGGGTACTTTTTTCCTAACACACGGTTAACCCTTAGCTTAGGACTGAACACGCTCCCTCATTTGTCGATAGGGATTGTTGGGGGTTTTCTTGCAAAAGCAAACAGGAAGGGCTTTAGATGTGATTTCCCATTCAAAAATAGAGCTATTCTATCGAAGAGAATAGGGATTTTCGAGGTTTTTCTTGCAAAAGCAAACTGGAATTGCTTTAGATGTGATTTCCCATTCAAAATTAGAGCTATTGTATTGAAGAGAAGAAGTTTTCTATTTTCATGTTGATTATAAGATATTAACTCCTCTTGAAATCAAGAATTCTATTTTCATGTTGAGTAATTATATGGCCTTGAAGAAACTTATATCAAAGCAATAAATCAAGAGTTCCTTTGTTAGCATGGAGCTTGCTGCATTTGTGACCCTGTGAGTTAGAATAGTACATTCAAATCAGTTCCCACTTTATGTCTTCAACAATGTGTTCTAGTTTTGATTGTTTAACTAACTGCTGCCTTTATCTTCCGTAAGACTTTAATGAAACATGAGGGAGCAGATTCCCTCGAAAAGAAAGAAAGAGGAAACATGAGGGGGAGCAGATTTTGGTTAAAATTGTTCTTCACACTGATTTTGCTCAAGATACCCTGAGATTTTACAAATAAGGAACACCCTTTATATCATTCATTCTTGGAAGTCATCTACTAGCAAGCATATGAATATGAACCAGTCCCTACATATTTGCTGCAGAGCTCATGCCAGTATGCATACTCTCTACTTGACTTGCAAGCATTATATTGCACCAAAATAAGCTTGCTAGGTAGTCAAATTGATGGCGTGCTTGTATGGTTTTTTTATGAATGTCATGTATCCAACAACATTTCGAATGGCATGTTGATCAATTGTTGATGTTCTATTTCATTCGCAATTCAGCTTCATTGAGTATCAGTGAAAGACATGATGCCTGATTGAAGCTGTCCAGTGATTCTTTATCATAGGGTCTGAAGCCCCTCTATTTAATTTTTGGCTGTGCATGTTTTTTGGACAAGGGGATCAAGAACTCCTCAGTTAATTATTTTCTGACTAAGGAAAACTTGCTGCCATGTTCACAAAATAAGGCTAAAAATCAGCAATGGTAACAAACGGAAAATTTGTTGAGGACACTGTTAGCGAGGGACAAGAGTTAGAGAGAAACAGGACACCGCTAGTGAGAGACGAGTTATTGAGAAAGGGTACTGTTAGAGAGTAGCTGGAGAGAGAATGAGCATGTCTAGAGTTTGAGAGAGAATGCATGGTTAGAGATAGAGATTAGAGAGAGAAGGGTATTGCTAGAGGGAGTTAGAGAGATAAATAACACTGTTAGATAGTGAGGAGTTAGAGAAGGAAAGGACACATTTAGTAAGGAGTTAGAGAGAGGTATTGTTGTGAATCAGGGATGGTACAACAAATGGCAAATGTTATGAATCGTAAGGTGGAGACTTTTTGAATTATTTATTTCGGTATGCCTATTTCAGATTTTAGGCTATTATTTATTTGGTATATGCCTATTTCAGATTTTAGGCCTCTTAAGGAGGTTTGGGATCCGATTGTCAAGCAAGCTAGCTTGGATTTATGTGAGGCAAAAAATCCTTCTTTGGGTGGCATAATTAATTGTCAAGCAAGCTAGCTTGGATTTATGTGAGGCAAAAAATCCTTCTTTGGGTGGCATAATTACTTTGATCATGTCATCCCTCTCCAATTTACCTATTTACCAAATGTCACTCTTGTTAATGTACATCATTAAAAGAATTGAACAGCTAATGAGGAATTTCTTTTGGGGTTCATTTTAAGATAAAAAAAAGTATCACTTAGTGAGTTGGGAGAGAGTGTGCTCATTGAAAAAGGAAGAGGATTGGGGATCCAAAGACTAAAACTTATGAATCAAGCCTTAATTGCGAAATGGTGGTGGCGTACAGGAGGATTGCGAAATGGTGGTAGCCTTAATTGCGAAATGGTGGTGGCGTACAGGAGGATTTTCTATGGAAGAAGATTCTTATTGCAAAATATGAACTGGGTCTTATTAGATGGAATATAAGCAAAGGGGATGAGGTTCTTTTCTGGCATCAAAGATGGGCCACGAATGAAGCCTTGAAATTTGAATATCCAGATTTGTTTATGAGATGTGCAAATGATCCGGCTAAGGTGAATGAGGTTGGTGAGCTATGTGGCGACTCTATTTTTTGGAGTATCTCATGCGGGTATAATTGCGTTCCCGTGGTGGTGTATGATCAAATTCTTGATCTTCTCCTAGATTAGCTAAGGTATATGTCTCTCCAACGACAACTGATGAGTCTGTTTGGGAGCTCGATGTGGATGGAAAGTTCTCGGTAAGGTCTGCTTATGCGTTGTTATTTCATGATGGGATTAGGTGGACTCAACCAGAGCTTAATGATATCTGGAAATGGAAAATTCCGTTAAAAGTCAAAATGCTTTTATGGATTATGTTTCAAGGTAAGGCTTTGATTGTGTACAATTTATGTAAGAGGGGGAAGATTTTAGTGTATGTGTGTTTGTTTCATAAAAATGATGAAGAAAGTTGTATTCACTTATTTTTCCATTGCCCAATTTCGAAACATATTCGGCAGTGGGCTTTGCAAAAGGTAGGAATTGTGATGGTCATGCTTTGATCAATAGTTTACAACAATTTAAATTGGGTGGTTTCCAAAAAATAGGGGGATTGATTTGGGACATTTTGAGAGGTGCTGTTATTTGGGAATTGTAGTTAGAGAGGAATAGAATAAGTTTTGATGGAGTATCATTGGATTTATTGGAAATCAGAAATAGATTTCTGAATGAATACAATTTGGAATTGATTCCGAGTGAAAGGAAGGGTTTGGGGTTTCCAAAGTTGATAGTTTTCTATAATTTGGGAAATTTGATAAATTATAGCTTCCTTAAGATTCGATCGAGATTGACTTATTGCAATAAAGGTTAAGTACTCTTGTCAAAAAAAAAAAAAAAAAAGAAAAAAATGAAAAAAAAAGGAAAGAAAAAAGGATGGAGAGGGTGCATTTGGGAAGAGAGGACTTAAGAGAGAAAAGGCCTTGTTAAATAGAGAGGACGTGGAAAGAATGCAGATAGAGAGAGAGAATGTGAGAGGTGAATTTCGTAAAGAAATGAATGAGGGAACTTCCATGGAGATGATAAGATCTCATTTTTTGAGATCCCGAAACTCCCGAAGCCAGTTTCCTGGGACACTTCATGTTTACATACGAGTTCTACCATAAACTAGTACCTCCAGCCTTAAACTAGTACCTCCAGCCTTTAAGAGCTGGAAGTTCTAACTATCAAACGTGCCCTTAGGGTTCTCTCTCTATTGTCTTTCTACGGTTGCCCTTTCTCTTTGTTTTTCTCACTCTCAAAAAAACCTAGAATCTCTCAACATGAATCTCAAGGCGAAAAGGCCCTAAAGGATAGGACCATGAGAGAGGATAATTTCCTGTGTATAAAGGTTTTATAGGAATATTCATGAGAGTAGATCTTTGTCTTCTATAAGTGGGAAACCAATATTCATGAGAGTAGATCTTTGTCTTCTTTAAGTGGGAAACCTATGGATGAGAGAGACTTTTTAATTTCAGCCATATGAAGACCACACTAAGGGGCCGTTTCGATACCTGGAAATATATTGTCTGAGAAATATATTATTGGTATAATACATTACTTGTAAATAGATTGTTACTGTTTGGGTAGTATTTAGATGCAACTTGAGAAATACATTGTTATTATTTGGCTACGTTTGAAAAAAAATATAAAAAATGCATTACCAACATTTTACCAGCACGTGCTTATAAACTATCGTTTTTTTTTTTTTGTCACAAAATTCTACTAAAATGCAGAATTATCATTTCTTCTTTTTTGTTACAAAATTCCACTAAAATATAGAATTAAAATCATCATCACACCATTCTAAAGAGATCTCTACTAATAACATCATCACCATTCCAAAAAGATTTTCTAGTAATAACTTGTACCATTTTACAGTCATCATGACACCATTTTCTACTTATTTTACATGCCTTTGGCACTTACATGGAATCACATATCTTCGAACATTACATTGGTTTCAACATGATAAGTCATTAGAACAATATGATTGGAATAACATGATTTTATTATGATAATCTTTATTTTTATTTATTTATTTATAGAAGTATTTCAAATATCTCTTTATATAATTTCAAATAAATAATAAATTTATGATACTAAATTCAAAATCTCCATGGTATGTGAAAGAAGTTTGATTAGTAAACTAGAAGGTTTTGTAATTGCAGAATAAAATTTTGAAGTATTGGAGGAGACTAAAGAAGCATGTTATTTCAATTGAGATTTTAGTAATTATGTTGTGTGAAATTTTTTATTATGATTGTGTTGTATAATTTATCATTAATTACTGATTTTTATTTTTATTATTTTGTTTTTATATGATAGATAAGGGGATGAGATTAAAAAGAGAGGTATTACATATGCTAGTTATTAGGAAAAGAGAAGTCGTACCATAGAAGATTAAAAGAGAAGGCTTACCAGAGAAGATTTTTTTAATTAGGAATAGGGTTGGCAAAAATGTATGCTAAAATTTTTCCAAAATTATCCGTCACTCCTGTAATAGATTTTTCACCTATCACCGTAGGTAATGGATTTACTAATTTTTTTTGGAAAATCTCCCATAATCTCTTTCCATTTCCATTTCCTTACTATTAAATGTACCCAAACAATAGAAATGCCACATCTCCTTGTAATCTATTTTCACCGTACATTTCCGGTCCTTAAGAGCTCACCTTTATCCTAAAAGATGGAATTGATCTTCTAATATGAAATGAGATCTTTGCTGCAAGTTTTGAACTTATAAAAGAAAAATTGGTGAGTCATTTATGTATGGTAGAGGGTGATTATTTAAAGGAAAAAGTTTATATAAGGATGCAACCTTATAATGTAGAACTACGGAGGCACCTCAAAAATCCATCGGAATAGGTAGTTTTAATGTTGAAAAACCCTTTGATTGATCATCTCGACATTGAGATGTATGACCATGAAAAATAAAAAGATTTTAAGTCTCAGAAATAGTGTGTCTTACAACATATTATTTACACTGTCCATTTTCAAGATTTTCATATGTTTATAGATTTACTTGATTTTAACTATTTTTTAAATATAAAATTTTATAATTAGATTTAAAACTAGATTTTAAGATAATCCTAATAATAGTTTACATCAAAATTATATACCATGATGGATAATAGTATGAAGTCCTGAAAATAGTGCATCTTGTAACAATTTATCTGAATTGTCCATTTTGAGTTTTATGTTCTATAATTAGATGTAAAACACATATTCAGGTCTCATTAAAAATTTTGATACTAAAATTACATCT